CCCTGGAGACGACCGCTGTGGCTTTTCAACCAGAGTGTGGCAGTGGCCCCAGGAATACAAGTATTCAAAGAACGCTGTGCCCATAGCTGTGGGACTCCAGCGCGCCACCGCCTCTCCCTAAGTGTTGTGAGGGCGGTGCGGAGAAGCGCCATGCCTCCACGGCTGTAAGCTCTAGACCAGTGGTTTGCAACCTGTGGTCTGCAGACCCCTGGGGGTCTGCAGGTTGTGTCAGGGGGGTCTGTAAAAGATGACTATGATCAATCCAAAGTATGTGGATACCCACATTTACCTGCATTCAAAACTTTTTAGGGGTCTGCAGATGAGAAAAGGTTGCAAACCACTGCTCAAGTAGATACTGCATCACAGAGAAGTCGGGCTGGAAAGCATCTCGAGATGTCACCTAGTCCCAACTCCAACTGAAAGACCCCCCCTGTGTTTTTGCCGAGCCGTGCTGTGGCTTGGGATCCTGCCGCTGCCCACAGGGTACGGTGGGTACCACTGTCTCCCTTGAGACTTCTTTGTGTTGTTGATTTAGATGCTTGTACATGAATGAGGAGCCCTGCCAGCTGGCTGTGCCCTGGCTGTGGAGATGGGCCAGTGCCTGAGAACCGCACCAGTGCCATCGGCATAGGATCATGTGAAGAGCTAATGCTGTGTGTGGACCAAAGGGGAAGGGGGTGGATTGGACACCAGTTTGAGAGAGAGGAATCTGCCAGGGCTGAGTGCTAGGGAGGAGTGGGGTGGAGGGAAATAAGCCACGGGGAGGAGGCTACACTTTATACCCTTGTGAACTGCCGTCTACTTCCTTTGAGTCTCTTCCAATTAAGAGGGTTTGGGACTGATGTTTTGCCAGTGGTGGGAAGTGGTTGGGGAGGTGGAGCCTGAGATCTAGAGCTGGGGTTATTTGTCAACTTGTGAGTAAATTGGGTAGAGGTTTGTATAGGGGCGCGCTGTGTCTGTGTGTGTGTGTGGTTGAGTGCGTCTGTCTCGCTCTGGCTCTCTGCGTTTCTCCCTCTCTCTCTTTGTGCCTCACTCGCAGGCCCTGCCATGAATTTTCTCTGACCCCTTGGGGCCATTCCCACATGAAGCTTTGATGTGTGTGCCCAGAGCTTGATTGACAAGGAAGTTTTAGTGGCGGCAACAGGGGAAACGAAGAGAAAAGGGCAGGGCTTTGAACTAAAAGGGCTTTGAGCTCTGAGATGCTGTGCTTAGTTATCTCCTTCAGAATGTTAATTATTCACCACGATAATTGGGCGGGAGGGGAAAAAGAGAGAGGGGAGGTTATTAAAAAATTCCAACACTAACACGCTACAAAAACCTCATTTTCCAACTCGCAGCTGGCATGAAAAGGATGTTATGTGTAAAGGGGCTTGTAGGGGGGGAGGCGAGGGGCTCTTTTCTAAGCTACCCATTTCCTAAATAGTGGGATCCCTTCAGACGAATGCAGCGGAGACATCAAAGCTCTCACAAGAGTTTTCTCTGGGGTTTCTTAACCGTGTCTGGTGCTTTTTAATTAAAAAGTTTACGGAGAGCCGCCTTTGTGACGGGAGCAGGCAACCTTAGGCCTTGCTGATTGGGGAAGGAAATGCTAAAAGGCCTAATAAATAATGGGTCCTGCTGCTAGGATGTCAGCTCCAGGGTGTGCGAGTTCCTGGCCGTGAGGTAGGAAGGGAGGCTTGGCACTGCCAAGGGATGGGAGTCCCTCCATCCGTCCCGGGTGCCACCCGCTCCCTGGATGGGTGCGGGCAGCTGTGACCTCTCATTCTCTTGACGTTGTGGATGGGTGGTGGTGACTCGTTCCCTCGAGTTAATATTGTTGGGTTTAACGTGGGCGCTGGGTACTACTCGTGGGCCTCATCAGGATAGGCCCCCTGTGCTGAGGGCTGCATGTGCACGGGACCCATGCGGTCCGGCATCCCGTCTGCAGGGATGGCGGCAGAGGCTCTGGGGAAGGCTTAGGAAACCCCACAGCAGGCAGCTACAAGAGCCTGAGCTGCTCAGCCCCCGTCCCCATTATGAGTAAAATCTTAGGGTCTCTAGTCCCAGACGAGAACCCCGAGGCCCTGCTGGTAACCCCCGAGTGCTGAGCGTTGAGTGCGGCTCCTTGCGTCCCGTCTGCAGCCAGCTTTCATCTGGAACAGCGTTTTGCCCCTCACACCATGATAACGTCCTGCGCCCCAGCAGTATTTCTGTCAGCCCTCGTAATGGACTTTGTTCAAGGGCAGACGGCCCTCAGGTCACATCCAGTCCAGCGCCTGCTCGAGGCAGCATTGTCCCTGTCTGTAGCCCCTGTGTGGTGTCTGTCTAACCTCTCCTTAAAAACCATGCAGACCAGCCTCTTGCACAGCTGCCAGGCGTGTTGCCCACAGACATGAAGAATGCCCTGGCTTGCTCCAGGTAAAGCAGGGGGCCAAAGGCACTGCTGCTGCCAGGACAGGCAGTAGTATGTGGGAAGCTGATGTGAATTGTGTCAGCGAGTTTCCTTTGGGCCCCGGTGCATCAATGTGTTCAGCGAATTCCCGTCGCTAGTGAGACGTTACTTCCTTTGCAGAATCCTTTTTGTTTGGACAAGATCATGTGGTCTTCCAGCTGTTTTCTGTTTGTTCTTTTAATGGTGCTTCTGACCAGTTTGCCAGATACGGAGGGGTCTGTAATTGTGCAGATCACCTTCAGAGTCTGTTGAAAATAGAAGCACAACCTGGCAGCAGGAGCTGGGTTTAATGATACAGTCAGTGTTTCTGATAGCTGTTCAAGAGCTCAGGGAGGTCCCCTCGGGGCTGGCAACAACTGCTTTTCCATTTGGCACTGGATTCTCGCACCACTTCTCCAGGGACTGCCAGAAGAGATCAGGTACAGGGTAGATGCTGCTTCCATGTGCTTGGTAGTGAAGACTGATGTGAAGGAAGCATTTAGCTCCTTGCCCAATGTCCCCATCTTCCTTCTGTGCTCCCTCTCACAGCTGGGGATCTGGGGGCCACCAGCTCTTGGGGCAGTTTTGACATCTGATGTTTATCACAGAGCTTTCTGCTCCTGTTTTTGTGCCTTGAGCTGCTTGCCCTTCAGAATCCATCGCCATTCCCTGGATTTCCGCCTTGCGCCCCACCGTTGTAGTGTGTGCCCTGTGCTAAGAGCTTCCATAGGATCAAGTTTCCAAATACTGCTGGATCTGTTTGGCTTGAATAACTCTTCAAGCCCTTCCTGCTTCCCTTTATCTCCTGTGGTGCATGTGACTTGAGGCTTCAGGACAGAGGTGGGCAGGATAGCAGCCAGGCCCTGCCCCTGGCCAGCTGTGGGGTGGCAGTGCCTGCCTTTCTACAGTAACGATGCTCTGTGGGGGCTGATAAAGACAACTGTTGACGTGTTGCAGATCTCATTTGACTTGTGCCGCGTGACATGCTCATTACACAGTATCCACAAATCGTGTACCATGTGGGTAAGACCTGGCTGGCAGACTGCACCAGGTAGCCACTGTGGGGAGTCCTCATTGAGTCAGGGTGCTGCACGGATTGGCTCTGGGTCAAGCATTAGTCATTATCCTTTTGCCAGGGTTTTGGACACTAATATAAAATAGCTGCTGAGACAAAGGCTGGAGAGAGGCAAATGCAGCTGGGTGCTGAGCAGTCCTGCAGTGACTGGGGCCCATTCAGCCAAGATACGTTCCAGTACAGCCCAGTGCAAGGTCAGGCATCTAGGAGCAAGGCAACCAGGCCAGACCTACAGGACAAGGGCTCTGACAAGGGGTAGTGGTCATGGCAGACGGACGAGTCAGCGTGAGCTGCAGATGTGATCTCTGAACGTGTGACCAGGGCAGCAGTGAGAGCAAGAGCAAGGGGTGGTTTCACCTCTGTATCCAGTGCTGGCCAGACTGACGCTGGACTTCAGCAGCCATGCCTGAGCCCACATTTCTGAAAGGCAGTCGATCGATGCAAGAAGATGTAGGGAGGAGCTACGAGGACGATTCAAGGGCTGGAGAAGGTGCCTGACAGGGAGAGACTGGAAGAGCTTGTTCTGTTCAGCAGCACTAAGAAAACAGAGGTGACTTGATGTCTGTGCATAAAAACCTTCATGGGGGAAGACTCCAGGTCCTAACGGACCTAGAACCTACCAGCCAAAGGCAGAGCAAGAACCAGCGACTGGAGTTAAAGCCAGATCGTTCAAATGAGAAACAAGGCGCAGATTTTTCACCATGCAGGTGACTGAGTGGAACAAGCTGCCGAGGAGGGGGGCAGCTTCACTGTCCCCTGGCTTCTCTAAAGCAGGACTGGAAGATGTTTTAGCCCCAGCCAAAGTATTGGGGTAACCAGGTGGAACGTCAGAGCCTGGGAGATGACGCCGCATGGTCCCATGGCCCCTTCTGGTTTCCAGCTCTGCCAGAACTCTGCTGCCTGGCTGTGGGCTCCGCTGCACCAGCGTTACTGGCTCCCTGTAGCTTGGTGTGGATGGACATCTTGTTCCCACATCCCTTCCAGCCCCTGGTAAAAACACCCAGGTCTTCCCTGCTTGTGGCAGGTGGAAAACATGAAGAGGAGGCTGACCCTGGCATGACTGGCAGCCTCCATTACTGAGATGTGAAATGAATATCAAAGGAGGGGTAGGCAAGGTTGGAGGTCAGGCTGGGTTGCAGGGTGGTGGATGGCAGCACTCTGCCCCTCGCTGCGTAGCTCGCTGGGCTCCTGAGGCATGTCTGGGTAGGTGGTGTCCTCCAGTGCTGGATGCAGCCTCCCCACCCTGGGCACTTGTGTGCATTGGCTTTGAACCTCTCTGGGAGGAAGAGTTGAGCAGCCCTCCGGCTTGGTTTCATCTCATCTGCTCCTCGTGCTGCTGCCTCTGCTGTAGGGGACTCAGCTGCCCACAGCAGCAAACCTCTGTGTGTGTTCATGGTGGTAGAGCCTGTGCCCTGGGCTATGGTGGGGACTGGGCTGCCCTTTGCAAGGCGCCAGGGATGAAGCACTCAAGGCTGGCTCTGGTGGCACTTCTAATCTCCTTTCCCTTTCCTGCAGGCAAACCTCTTCCCAGCTGCTCTCGTTCACTTTGGATCTGAGGAGCGCAGAGGTGAGCGATCCCTTCTCCCCTTAGGCTGTTGTGCATCCAGGTAAATCATGTCACTCCAACGAGAGCCTGAGCTGAGCCAAGGATTTGTCGTTGCCCACCCCAAACTCCCCCATGTCCTCTGGTCTCCTCCTGTCACTCAGGTTGCTTATCAGTTAATAGAAGTGCACTAACGCACGTGTGTGAACATTAAACCATGAGTCTTTCCTACAAGCTGTTCAGGCTCTGACATTGGCACTGAGTGCTATGGAGGTAGGAACGCTGGAAGAACCTAGCGTGATAGTCTCTAAAAAGAAGCTTGTGAATCTCGTCACTTTAAAAGAAAGCTGGACAGATGATGGTGATATGCACTGCAAGAACCAAGCCTGGCTGGCTTCCTGTGGGAATGAGAGAGGCAGGAGGAGCAGGTCTGGTGCACAGCAATGCTCTCAGTGTGCCAGAGGAAGCTGGGCCTCATTGAACAAAGTGCTGCCAGGTTCAGGGGGCTGGGGCTGGGGTAGAGGTGGCAAAGAAATAGCCATGCTTTGGTTTGAAGACAGTCACCAGGTGGCCAGCAGCATTGGTTATAATCCTGGGAGAGGGTAGGGACTCTCTGAAGTGAGCTGGGGACATTAGCTGGTCTGGAGCCGCTCTGAGGACAAGTGTCTGCATGTTGGCGACTTGCCATCCTTCAGCAGGGGGTGCATGTATGGATTGTGTGGGATTTTGTTTTACAGACTGTTTCTTGAGACCAGACCTGCTGGAATCTGCTGTATCCCCTTCTGCAGCTGACTTGTTAGTAGCCGGGTAGGTGGGGACTGTGAGGGAGGTTGTGGGGGGGAGTGGTGCTTGGGGGAAGGATGCAATTAACCCCGTGTTGGAGAGGGATGAATGCCCAGGCACTAGGACAAAGCTCTCACCTGCACTCAGGCTCATGCAGCCTGGCAGGATGGCTACATGCCTTTTTCTGTCGGGGGGGCCCTGGGCTTGAGGAGCTGTAGGCTGGGAGCACGTGGGAAGGGACCGGTTTGAAAGCCCTGTCTAAGCACTGCTCACTCCATTCTCCTCTCAGATGTCTGTCCAAATCTCTCGTTCCTTCTGCGCCATCAGCTTCAGTAGCAGCTGCTCCCCTGCCAGCCGGGCCGGAGGAGACCGCGGATGAGAGAGGGGCTGCAGAGCATCCAGAGCCAGCAGGAGCCTCTGTAGCCCCACAGCCAGTGAGAAGGGCCCCTGGGAAAGTGCCAAAGTGGTTGAAGCTGCCAGGTATTTATTGTCTGAGGTTAGGGGCAGCTTTCCTTCTGCAGAGCCGCCCCAGGGGCAGGCCCCAATGGGCCTAGCTCGGCACGTCCTGAGACTGGTTCACCAGTGACAGGGCACACGAGGCAGCTGGAATTGCTCCTGCGCACTTGAAATGCATCCCATGCTGGGGAAAGCACCTGGACACTTGCAGCTCTACTCTCCTGACCTGTGCTCCAAGGCATCCTGCCAGAGTCTAGCTTCCATGTTGCATGAGCTCAGCCTGGCTTGGCATGCTCTGGGGCTGTTCAGCTATGATGAGAGGGCCTCTGTCTCATGAGCTCCTCTAGGTTCCTTTTCTCTGCTGGCACTGGCTGGTGGAAAACATCGCCTTTTCCTGGGAGTGCAGGTACTCTGGTTAAGATACTTGCCATTCATATCTTGTAAGGTTGTTTCCGTGGTAGCTGCTCTGTGGTTAAGATTACAGGTGACTTCTGTTCAAAAAATCCCTATCCTTGTCCTTGGTCTTGGAGCAGTAGCTCACACCTGGGGCTCAGGCGGGATTTCTCTCCAGAAGCAGCTCTGGACTTAGGGTGTGCTCATGAGGTCATCAGCATTCACAGTCATGAGGCTTTGCCATTACGTGGCAAGAAACAGAACCACAACTTCTGCGTGGTCCTGTGCACATGGGATTCTGCAGAAGCTACATGCTGGAAGCACCCTAGTGCCAGGGGAGTGTCCTCCCCCAGGGGGGTGGGGGGTTCATGTGTGCAATGTAGGTGGCTGAGAGGTTCCCCATGTATGGCCATGAGAGGCCAAGTGGGAGTGACTGCCCTGCGTCTGCCCATAGGCCAGTGGTCATCTCTGCCAGGGTGCAGCTTGGACCTGGGACCCAGTGGGTGCAGAGCCCAGCTCAGAGGTCACCTCACTGGGGAGTGTCTGCACCTGGCAGGGCCTGGAGAAGCAGCTTCCTGCCGGCCCCCCCCCCCCCCCCCCACCACCCCCCCGACACAGATGTAACAAAGACCCTGACGGCACCATAATGTGCTCCTTGTTTGTGCTGCAGGTGGGAAGAGATGAAGGACTTGGGCCCCTTGACTGGACTGAAGCAGCAGACGGTGTTGTGCTTCTTTCTACGGGAGCTGCTTCAGTCTCGGTGAGAAGTGGCTGTTGGATCTGGAGAGACTGGACCTACCCGTGTTGTTTCTGAATAAAGCAGTGCTATTTCCTGTGACCAGTTCTGCATTGCTGGGAGTGGAGGAAGGCCCATGTGAGACTGTCAGCCTGACAGTGGAATTGGGGTCATGTAATCCAAATGGAGCAGGCAGAGAAAGCACCCCCTTCTCCCCTGCCCTGTCCCTCTCTGTCTCTTGCCTTTGCTTTTCTGGGTGTTTTTGAAATTCAAGCCTTTTCTCAGCTGTCTTCTGAGACAGTCTTGCGGCCTGGAACAAGGTCTGGGTGCTGGAATCGAGTGCCCAGTTCCATCCACCGTTGTAAAATGCTACCCAGAGCCAGGCTGGTCTCTGCTCTGTGTGGTCTGGCAGTGGATACCTCTGCTGGGGGAGAGGGAGTGGAGGGAGCAGTCTAGATTGCTCATGGCAACTCAGGAGGCTTTTGCAGGGAAACTCCTGGTTCATTGCACTTGTGTGTTTTCAGTCACTGGAGCCTTGCTAATGAAAGGCACAGGTATCCGTTAACAGCAAGCACTCGGAGCTGGCCTCTGCTCCAAGCTCTGGGGTTGATTTTTATACATGTAATTAACAGCATTAATTACTGTTTTAATGAGAGCAGGTCTCTTCACTTGGCTCCTGTTGCCTGCGTGGTCTTGCAGTGGAGCTGCAGTTTGCAATGAGCGCAGGAAGGAGGGGCGCCGTGCTCGGAGCCCGGGCCTCCGGCATGTGCCGTGCGGAGAGGCAGGCTATTGTTAGAATGTGCCAGCCTTGGGGATGAGCGTTCGGGGCCACAATAGCTGCGCGGCTGTGTTGTATTTGAAGCCTCTTTCATGGCTCAGTGACTCCAGCCGGGCCGTCGGGGTTGTTCCACGTATGGTAATAAGCCTTGCCATTTGTTTTCTGTTTTCCCCGTACAGAGCTTGTTCCCTGAACTACGTGGGCGTCTGCACAATTTGTAGATGTAATAAAGCAGAGTGGCCATAGGAGGCCTTTCTGTCGGCCCCTTTGATACTGTGCATTTCTTCCCCACTGCTCTCTTTCTCTATCGGTTCACAGGAACCTGCTCCCTATTCATTGGGCCTGACATGCCCCATTCTCCCCCTTTTTTTCTACAAAGCAAAACGGAGCTTTGTACCATCTGAATGAACTTCAAAGTGGCTGGAAGGGGCACCCAGGGTTCCTGGCACTTGTCATTGTCTCCCAGCCTGGCCAGCATTTCCCTTCAGGTCTAATTACTTCCAAATGCTCCAAAATGCTTTGAAGAAAATCAGAGGGGAGGGGGAGGCATGAGGGCAAGGTAGAGGAGGGAAAAGGAAACTGAGGGGAGGGAGCAGAACGCAGGCTCTGAGGGAGAGGTTTCTTGAGGCACCCAAACACGACTGGCCTGGGAACGTGGATGCCAGTGGCGGTGGAGCCGCAAATGCCCTGCGGGCTGCTGCTCTCAGCAATGCCTTTCTGTCGAAAGCAGCCTCTGGCCCTAGGGCTGGACCAAACCAGAAGGGGAAATGCTGCAGCAAGGGTCTGCAGTGGATTGCTCTAGGGCCAGGGGGGCTCGCCAGGCCCCAGCCACTCTCTCGGTGAGGTGTGCTGGCCTTGCTGCCGCTCCTCTGAACTCTGCTGCTGCTAGGGGAGTCTCTGTTCTGTGCAAGTCGGTATCAGTACGGCAGCTTAACACTGCAATGCCCCACCTGCTCTACCAGGTGCTGCTGTGCTGTGCGTAGGCTGTTGAGGGGGTACCATGAAGTCAGGCAGACGCAGGGTAGCTTATGTATCTACCTGCCTTCTGACATGCAGTTGAGCCAGTAAGGGCAGCGACTGCTAACCTGACTGCTCAGGCCCCGCAGCTGGGGCCCAGAGCTCACCTGCAGCGCCTGAGGCACAGGGCTGACACTGGCTACTCCATTGACTCTTTCCTTTATCTCCGCTAGAGGGCACGGGCAGTGTCTTCTGCTGCTGTTCAGCTTGCAGATGGTAGTTCTCTAGCCTGTGCTTGAATGCTAATTGCATGCTGCTGGGCCAGGCCATGGCCAGGGCATGAGCACTGCAAGCACCTGGCACAGCCCACAGGAAGCAGACAAAAGCCTCAGCACCAGTAAGGAGCAGTGCCCAGCTGCTGGGCTCACGGCACGTGGGCAAGGGCTGCTGCCAATTCTTTGTCCTGCACAGGGGAAGTATGGCTGTGACTTCACACCATGTAGGGATCCCTGGCAAGGGTGCTGCATACCTGCAGTGGGGACAGGCAGCAGGCACGGGCTGGGAGTTTGGTTTGGCTGGATTCCCCGAGCAGACTTTCTTAGCAGGTTCAGTGACTTGCTGCCCCTGTTGCATAGTGGCTCAGGAAGTGATCACTGGTAGGCATGCACCGTTCTGCCTCAGGCTCCCAGCAGCAAGTTGCGTGCGTAACCCTGGCTGATCGTCCCAGCACCGTGCTCCTGCTGCAGGGTGGATGCAAGGCTGCAGTTTTCAGAGAGGAAGCAACCAGCCACAGCCTGCAGTTGCTACAAGGTGGTCTTACTGCTGGCGCTGGCACCCATGCTCCTCTGCCACAGCCTCATCTTACTCACACAAGTGGCCTTAGGGAGGCCACATCACTCGAGTTGGAGGTGGCAGTGTTGGTTTCCTTGAAACATGGTTGTGGCAGTAGGGGAAGGAGAAAACAA